CTGGTGGCCACCCCTCCCGCCCGCCCGGGCGCCCCGCGAGCGCCGTTCGGGCCTTCGCCAGCCCCCAAAGAAAGGTGAAACCAACTTCGTTTCGGTAATGCGAGAGAGGAGAGGAAATGGGAGAAAAGGCGAAAACTGGGGGGCGGGAGGAGAGAAAGGGGGTCAGGACTGCACGGCGGCTGGGGTGCCACGGGTCTCCTTTCCTTTTCTCCGAGAGAATTTTTACGAAAAGCCTCCCCACCCGGGCTGGGGAAAGTCCAGTTCCTTAAAGGCAAACGCTGAGCACGCACGCAGGCGCGCACAGCGCTGCCGGCACAGGCAAGGTCACCCTCAGCGCTGGGCAGTGCTGGGGGTGTGGGACAGCGGCCCCAGAGGGACCTGTGGGGTGGGGGTCTTCCGGAGAGGGGGCGCTGCCGGGGGGGCAGCGGAGTGGTGGGGATCCCGGGGCGAGTACGTGGGCAGTGCTTGTTCCCACTGTCACCCCACAGAGAGACCCGGGCTGGAGGGGGTGCATCGCCAAGGCTGGCACTCTGGGGAGGCAGGGGTTAATGCCACTGGACAGGTGTGGGGACCCAGGCAGGGTGGAAGCATCTCCTTCACACTAGCTTGGCAAGACAGGGAGACCCCCCCCCCTCTGCCCCCAATGAAAAACAGCCCATTTTCCACCCGGAGCATAAGGCACGTGGGGAATGTTCCCCTTTCAAATTCCAGTCCGCATCAATCACCCCGTGTCCCATTCCAAGAACATCTGGCCTGTCTCCCCCCACCCATCGCTGCCCCCCTTCCCTTTCCGCCAGCCTCTGCAGTCTCCCGCGTCCCTGGCGGTCGGGCCTGTCGGGTGAGCCTGGAGGAGGGAGGGAGCCTCCGGCGGAGACGCTTTGGTGTGTTCATGCTGTTGCCCACTTCAGGGTGACTTGTACATTTGGGGGTGAGGAGCATTTAAAAAGTGCCTGTCTGTGGCCCCAGGTCTCTTGGAGACCTGAGGAGTTGTGAAATTCCCGCCAAGGGTCTCTGCTGTGGACACACAGTCCCAGGGCTGCCCTTGGCCCAGCTCTGGGTTCGCCACCTTTTGTCCAGGCCTGCTTCCCAGGCCGGGGATGGGCAGGGTGCTGGGGTGAGAGCCCCGCCTCAGAGTCGTGGGCTTTTCCCCTCGCTGGGGATACCTGGGGGACAACTACACCAGTGGCCCGTTTGGGGGCCCCTTTCCTGCTTTCTGCCCCGCAGAGGTGCCTGCCCTGGAGGAGCCACCGCCCGTGCTTGGAGAGGCAGGCCTGGAGTTTGCAAGGTAGGAAGAAGGCTGAGGTCACCTTGGGGTGCCCACAGCCCAGCCATCTCAGGGGCCCTACCAGGGCGGGCGGGGGCACACATGTTCCCCGCACACACAAGGCTGCCTGCTGAGCCCTCGCCTTATTTAGTCAAAAGTGTGGCTAAGGGGGCAGGCTGGAGCTGGGGCAGATCCGGGTCACCCTGGGGCTCATAAAGCACCGGCCGCGCCCCCAGCCAGGACCAGCCGGCAGGTTCTCCTTCATAGGCCCTCTCTTTACTCCCTATTTCTGGTCTCCCAAGGTAAGAAGGGTTCTACCAGTGTCCCAGGATGTCATGGGGCTGGGGTTTTCTCCTGCCCAGAGCTTGGCTGGCAGGAACTTTAGCCCCAAGCAGCACCCTCCCCCCAGCCCTGCCCCAGCACCGCCCTAGCACCGCGGCAGTGCTGGTCTCCTCTCTGGACTAGCAAACCCAAATTCCCAAGAGAATTAGCGTCCTCTCCAAGATCTGGACTCACCCCCAGCCTGGTCTGTGCCTGGCCTGCAGCTCCCGTGCTCCTGCACCGCCCGGCTCCCCTCATTCCCTCTCGCCTGCAGGGGACCTTTCACACTCCTCCCCAGCCCTGGCTCTGAGCTGGCTGCTGCCCCCTCCCTGGGACCAAGCCCAGTGTTTTACAAACCCAGCTTGTTCTCTGAGGGTCCCCTGAGTGCCCCTCTCTCACCCCCCCACAGGGTGCCCGCCTGAGGCACAACTGTGCACTCCTCTCAGCTCTAAGAGGGACGTGCCCACCCAGCCTCAGCCCGGCCAGCCTATGAAGCCAGGGACAGACGCCCTGAACCGGAACCGCCAACACCCAACAGCACAAACCGACAATAAAGCAAAAGCCAGAAGTACGTATGGGTCAGGGTGGGGGACACCAGGGGAACGGCCAAGCTGGTGTGCTCCGGAAGGACAAGGCTGCACCGTTATGCTACTATCTTATTAGTGTCTGAACTAAAGACACTTGTAAAAGAAACTTCTTGGCTTCTCTGGGATGGGCAGACAGGCCTGGAAGGGGGTCACCTGCTGGGTCCCTCCCTGCAGGTCCTGGAGGGAGACCTGTCACTCGTGGGTCAGGCACAAGGACACAGACCCACGCGCCCCCCACCTCCCATGCTCCCCAACCCCCACAGCCTGTTCCCAACACCCCAGTACCTGACCAGTGACCCAATGCCGCCACCACTTCCAAGCTGCTCCAGCAGAGTCAGAGGCGGCTCCGGCCAGCCAGGGGCCTTTCTAACCACCCCCCACCCCCATGCATGCACAGGAAGCCTCCTCCTCCGGCCTCCAAACACAATGGAGTCGTGACACCGGCACTTGTGAGGCCCCTCATGCTCAGAAAGCTCTCTGGTCATTATCTCATTTGCTTTCCACGATTCTGGACAGCCGGGAGGGCTGAGGCTGTTGCCCGCTTTGACAAACGGGGACAGACACAGAGAGGTGAAGCCACTGGTGTGAGCCCCCACAGCCTGGCAGGGAGAGGCTGGGCCTCACATCCCCCAGCTGAGCCCAGCTCTTCTCCGTCTCCAATTGCTCCCCAATGAGGAGTTTTTCCCTATTCCCCCTCCTCAAATTCTGTCCTCATGTCCCCACTGTCCCCCCAGACCGCCTGCTGTCTTCCTCTGCCCCCTGCCTCCTGTCCTTTTGCCTCTCCCAGGAGCTCCCCTCCGAGGACCTTGGATGCTGCAGAGACTGCAGGGATCTTTAGCTGCCGCACCGGAACGCCCCCACCTCAAGAGAGAGGCGCCCGGAGCTGACCCCCTAAATTCCAGAGACCAGCTGTGTGACTCTGAATATCTCCCCAGCCCTTCTGTAAAAGGGGGGAGATCCAAATCTGTGCCTGGGGGCTCCAGATCTTCGTGAGGGCTCCGAGACCCCTGCACAGAGCTGGACACATGGAGAGCTGCACCAGCAGGCAACTCCGCCGGGTCCGGATGCCAGAGACACTCACCTCTCTGGGGCTGGGGCTGGGCTGGGCTGGGCTGGCTGCTGCCCTCAGTTCTGTATGCGTGGGGATCGCCTGGGCCACAGGCCACAGCAGCTCACTTCGGGGCTGGGTTCTCGGGCCGCTCTGGACTGCTGGGGCTCAGGCTGTGGCACAGGCTGAGCAGGGGGCTGAGCTGGAGGACCCTGGGGCTGGGGGCTGGAAACCACCTCCTCTCTCACAAGCTCAGCAGTGACTCTTCGGCCCCTGGGGAGAAGCAAAAAGGTGTTCCGGAGGTGTTGTCTTTTAAAAACAAATGCCCCCCAACAAGCAAGAGCCCCTCCCCTCCCCTCCCCCCCCCCTCCTGGCTGCTTGGTGGGGAGGCCTGCAGTCACCTTGTCCGGGTCAGGGCCCCATCTCCCTCCCTGCCGCTCCAGCTGCCAAGCTCTCCCTTTTTCAAAGTACAAGGGGGAGAAAATGGGAGAAGTTCACCTGGAACTGGGCTCCCCAGCACCAAGCCCAAGAGCCTGCCCATGGAGAGGCAGGAGGCCCTTCTGCTGCAGGGCTGCCCTTTTCCTGGCTGGGGTGGATTCTGCCTGGGCACTGGTGGGGGCTGGGGGGGGGCTGCACACAGCCAGCGTTCCTTGAGGGGTCACAGCACAAAACAGGAAATTCCCTCTACTCACCAGCACTCCCACTTGGGGTGGGGGCAAAAGGAGGGTCTGGGCAAAAAACAAAGGGCACAGCCTGGCATAGAGAAGGCCTCGAGGGAGTGGGTGGTGGGGCTTCTCCAGGGAAAGGGGCCCCCTCCCCACAAACACCACACTGGGTAGACTGAGGAGTGGGATCACAGGAGAGAAAAACTTCACATGCAGATGGACAAGCCCCCAGGAAAGCCGCCTGCCCCAGAGCTCACTTCTGTCTGCACGGGAGGCTGGGAGGGTGCTGGAGAGAACCAGGCACACGTCGGAGAGAGAGAAGCTTTGCTTCTTAAAAACGCTGCTGTGGAATATTGAGGGGCTTTGTCTTTTCAAGGCCCTTTCACTCTCCTTCCCAGTTTCTTGGTGGTGGAGATGTAGGCATCAGGGAGAGAGGGAAGCTTTACACTCAAAATGGTATAAAAAAAAAAAAAGAAAGACCCCCCCCCTCCTGCTCTAGAATCTCGGGCACCTGTCCCTTCTGCACAGTCTCCTGTTTGTTTTGGGGATGAGGGAGGGGGTGCAGCAAGGGGAAAGTTCTCACACGTACAAAAAACCCTTTTGCATTTGCAAAAACAGCTGTTCATGCCTGCTGGGAAGAGCAGCTCTACCCTCCAGCCTCAGCCCCTGCCCCACCCATTTTGCCTAGCAGATTAGTAATGGAAAACTTATTTTCCTTGCAAAAGCCTCTGAGGCTTTGTGCAGCCCTATAGAAAAATCCCCTCCCCAGCTGTCCTTCCTGTCCCCTCCAAAGTGGAGGCTACTCTTGGGAAGCCTGCCTGGACCCTCCGGCAGCAAAGATTTCCCTCTCCCTCAGAAGCCAGGATCCTGGCAGCTGTCCTGAGCCCCCAGCCTAGCCGTGCCTGAATCCCCCAAATGCAGCTTTTCTCACACACTCAGAGGGAAGTCCAGTTACCTGTACTCAACACGCTGCGTAGTCCCTGCAGCTCCTGGACGGTGGATCAAGAGGACCGGGGAGTCTCTGGTTCCCAAGGCTCTCTGTCGAACCTGCCCGGACGATGATCCGCTGGCTGGGCCAATATTAGCAGTCGACGCCAAAGCAGGGGGTGCTCTGGCTGTGGTGCCCAGACCCTCTGGCCGGATTGGCGTGGAGGTGGAGGGGGACGAGGCTGAGGCTGGAGAGACGGTGAAGGGCACTTTTAGACTGTGCATGATAATGGTGCCCCTAGAAGCAGAATAGCCTCTCCACTGCTGAGTTCGGCACCTGCTCAAATGCCAACTGAAGTTAGGCTTTGTCCCTCACCTCCTCGTACCCTCCACGCCTTTCCCCAAGCGTCTCCAAATTTGGGAAGCTTTGCACCAGGTCAGTAGTGCTGAGGCCACTAGGGTGGCTGGCTGTGACACTCTCCTACACCAGGGCACAGTACTTTAGGGGGTGGAGGTTTGACCCGCCCCTGACCTGGCAGAAAGACGTCTGTGGGTGTGGGCATAAGCCGGAAGCAAGCCCTGCCAGCTAGGGAGGTGGGGACTGTGTGGAGGAGGTGGGGAGTGGGTGGGACTTCACTAGAGTGACACTTGGCAGTTACTTGATACCCTGGAATGTCGGTGGGCGTGGCACCGGTAAAATGGGGGGTGGGGACTAAAAAGAAATAAGCAGGGTTCAAGAATGAGCAGAAAATTTGTTTTTTTAGATGTTCCCAGTGCAGCTGTGGCACAATGCAGACATGTTCTTCCACATTCCATGGGAAGGAGACTCAGCTGGGAGTTTTTCTCTTTCACTAGTCATATCTGATCTGACCCCCTACACTCTATGGGGGGGGGGGTTCAAAAAGTTCATGGAAAAATTCATATTATCTTTTAATCCCATTTTTCCAAAAACTTTTTGAAGTGCCCTCATATGTGTGATGCTAGACACTAAGGATACTGCTGCAAGTGGCAGGAAGCAGGCAATGGGAACTCACAGGCATTCCCGGAGAAGATGAGTGGCTGAGCCCACAGCCTTTTGAGCCCAGCCGATACACCAATTAAAGAACAGACTCAGGGAGGGGGCAGAGAGGAATGGGTAAAGGAGCATGAAAATCAACTACAATGTATATGGAGAAGTAAAATTTTTTTAAAAAATTACATCCCTATGGAATAATCCAAAAGTAAGTAAAAATGCTATGCACAAAGTTGTTCACTACAATATTAAGAAGAGCAAAATATGAGAAATAAAAAATAAACAAAATAATCCATGGACTCAAAGCTGACAGAAGCTGGGGGGGGGGGGGGCA